AGCTGGTGCGGGACGGAGACTACAGGGCGGCGCTGCAGGCTGCGCACAAGGGGCTCGCCCTGGGTAAGCGCGGGGGGTCACCGCTGGGGACGGAGCGGGGCTGGTCAGTTTCTTGAGCCAGGCGTCAGAACAAAGCGAGCCCCCTCCCCCTTTTGTTCCTGGTTATGTAACTTCTGCTCCCGGCTCGGCTGCTTCTGGGGCTGCCCCCATGCGCTGCTAATCAGGGGACAGGTGTGAGCCCCCCCAAGCTTATGAAGGGGGTCACAAGCCAGCAGCATGTGCCCCAGGGTTGCATACACTAAGGGTTCATTAGTCCCCCCTCCCCCCTTTCATCCTCTGTTCCAAAGCTCCAAGGGCAGGGAGTTGGAATAGCAACAGCCCCCTTCTTTGAATGCTGCCTTGGATCCGGTCTTTTGCAAGCCCTGCAGGAGAGGTGAAAGCAAGGTGGGGGTGTGCCCTGGACACAAGCCAGCAGCATGTGCCCCAGGGTTGCATACACTAAGGGTTCATTAGTCCCCCCTCCCCCCTTTCATCCTCTGTTCCAAAGCTCCAAGGGCAGGGAGTTGGAATAGCAACAGCCCCCTTCTTTGAATGCTGCCTTGGATCCGGTCTTTTGCAAGCCCTGCAGGAGAGGTGAAAGCAAGGTGGGGGTGTGCCCTGGAGCAAAAGCCAGCAAGGAGCTATTTAAAGAGCTAGCAGGGCCCCGGGCTGTGGTAGGACAGGACCTGTAGGAAACTTACACCCCTGCCCTGTACCCTATTTGAGTTATTCACCTGCCCATAAATTGCTTCCCTGCATATGAGTCCTGGCTCTTTCAGGCCAACTGCTTTGGGACACTGGTCAGTGGAGGGATGCAGTTGCTGTGGCAAGTTCAGCTGTCAGCCACTAATCCAAAGAGTTGTGTGTCTGTAAGTGGCAGGAGAATGTGACCCAGGATTTGCAGGAGGGGCTGAGAGTTTAGGAATAGCTGTGTTGTAGAAGTTGGTGGTTCCGTAGCACACAGTGCCCACATCCAGCAATGTCTCAGGGTATGACTAATTTTCTGCTCTCCAAGGATCAGGGCTGGATCTTGGTATCTTCTTTCAGGGTTGACCTCTAGGGGAAATTTGCCTGCCTGGATTTTCTGAATTTAAGAGGAAAAGTGGATTGTTCCTAGGACCGTGGCAAGACTGAGCACCACTTAACGTGTGGCCAAACGTTAATTCATTAATCACCATAGTACCAGAGCCTGGGAGTGGAACGAACTATATAACTGATTTGCCGATGGGTAGTGAAACCTCATTGTGTAACAAGCAGATCCTTTTATCCAACATCTTCACGTAAGACATGCATTGTTTTTCAACATCCTGATTGCTCGATCAGCGGTCTTGAAGCAAATTGCATGCACGTCGGTTTGTTGTAATTACTGCTTTATTTTACCTCGTGCCAACAGGGGATTTCTGTGAAAGAAACACTGAACAAAGACACAGAGAGTTTCAGATCTTTGCTACACTGGCTGTGTGTTCCAGAGGTCTTTGCTTCTATGTGCCTCATCTCCCCAACTCGTCTTTCTTCTGATTATCATTTGGATTGTTGTAGTGCCAGCCTTCTGGTGCAAGGCGCTGTACAAACACACAGCAAATATTGAGTCCCTGCCCAGAAGAACTTCCCGTCTTGGGGATGGATCCTGCCTGTTTATAAATGAAGCTTTAAGGAAAGGGTACCATTTTCAAGGGAAAAGCAGACACACTTGCAGCCCCTGAGAAAGCCAGAGCAGGGACACCACCCCTGCAGCTCCCATTGGTCAATAACAGAACTGTTAGGAGGCGTCCGTGCTTTATCGATCCATCTGTTATCGTGCACTAGTACATTGGCAGGACTGATATATCAGTGAGAGTTGAGGCCCTGTCCTGAACTTATAGTGGTAGTCAGGACTCATGTGCCCTTTACATTTTTCCATCCATGTGCAGAATGAATTTTGTTATGTGCACCAAGGCATGTGTGGATGTGCACCATCAGTAGAAATACATGCTGCCAGCTGTGGGCACTCGGCTAATCAGTATTTGCATCTCACCTGGGTGGCTGCCCAAGTGCACAGCTTACAGGGAACACTGGTCAAGATAAAGAAATATGCTTAGGTAACAACCAGAGACTTAAAAGGAAACAGAGCCGTAACAAAAAGAACATCTTGGAGGCGGGGTGTTGTCCCTTGCTTTCCATGACAGGCTCAGGTTTACCAGTGTGCGTCTCTATGCAGGTGTCAAATCCGATCTGTGGCATCATTTAACCCGTGAATACCGATGGCCGTGGCATTTTGTCTTTACACACATGTGGCTGGGACCAGTGAAGCAGTACAATGTAATCACTTCTTAGCTCTTCCCCTCTGGAGTCACAGCGCAGGCCCCACGTGAAAAACCAGTTTTGATTTCACCTGGCTTCCATTTGTCCTCTTTACCAAACCCACCGCACAGCCTGGTTTGGTGAGTGGTCCTGGCTCAAGGACCAGCACTGGGGGAAAGGGCTGCTGCTATTCTATATCTTGCTACCGCACCTGGGAGAGCCAGTCAGAAATCAGAGTCCCGTTGGGTGAGGTACCGTGCTGAGAAGTGAAGGAGAAGCAGCTGCTGCTCTAGGGAATTCATTTTCCCGGATTGTGACAAGATACAGCAGGTGGATAAAGAGACCCAGGGGGATGTGGAAAAGGTTACAGTAACAGGTCCGTGTGCGTGAATAAATAGTCTCCTTGGCCATCAGAGTCCCAGCTGTCTGCCAGCTTGGACTGCAGCGCGTTGGCAGAACTGCTCCAGAGCCTAGGTCTGAAACGGCAGAGGATCAGGGGCACCAGCTGTGTTGGGTGTGTGAGAAACTTGCATAGCAAACCAAACCCAGATCTGCTCTGCACACCCTCAGGCTTACGCAGCGCAATACGCGGGAGGATCGGAGCATGTAGGATTGTTTTGTTACAGAGAAGAGAGCGCTAACGTTTCAGCAGCGTCTGAGTGGCTTGGCAAGAATCTCTTATCTGTAGCTAAATGGGTTTAAATACTCAGACAGTGTTTTTTTTCATGTGTTGCTCAATTTTAGCCCAAGGCCTTTTTTCTCCCTTTGGCTACAGAGCAACCCTTGGCAGAGATTTTTGTAGGTTGATGTGGGTGTTTAATGCTCAAATCAAGCAGCAGGATTCCCCCCCCCCTTCACCCCCCGGTCATAAAACTATAGAATCATTGAAATGGAGGATTGGAGGAACCTTGAGTAAGCATCAAGTTCAGCCTCCTGCGCTAAGTCAGGACCAAATAAACTCAGATTCTCCCTCCTCTAACCTATTCTTACACACTTGCTGGAATGGGGTTTCACAGCCTCCCTTAGATGCCTATTCCAAAACTTAACAACAGGCGGAACCTCTCTAGTGCAGAACTCTCCGGTCTGGAAACATCCATTGTCCAGCATGATTTTAGTGAGCCGAATGTTCACTTTTTGTGGGTGTGGCCAAGTTTCCCGCAGTCCACAAAGTTTTACAGCCACCAGTCCTGGCTCTCGATGTTTTGTGCTGTGATTTAGCTCTAATTTACCCTTCAATGTCTTCTAAGAGCCCAGCAAGCAGTGGAAGTGTTGGTAATGCTGCTGGACAATATTGACCTCCCCTGGTCTGGAAAAGTGTATGGTTTGGAACTGGTCAGGTCCTAAGGTTGCTGGACTAGAGAGGTTCAACCAGTACCTTTTATACTTCGCTTTCCTAATACCTAGCCTGAATGTACAGATTAACATGACTTCTTATCCTGCCTTCAGTGGACTTTGAGAGCTAAAATCCAGCCTCTGTCAGGAGGATCTGAAAAGAGTATCGCCTCATGCTCAGTCGGTAACCTGTGTGATATTAGAGGTAGGGGTGTTAGTGAACAAGTAGCCATGTGACATCAGCACCCACGATGGCCGAGCCAGAAGAAAGGCAAACCTGTGAGGTCATCCCAGTAGGTTGGTGGATGAAGCTCAGTCTAAGGGAGGGGTGGGCAATAATTTTTTGCCGGGGGCCACTTTGGGAAATTATTAAAGTGGCCCCCGGCTGCACAGGAAGGGGCGGGGCATCAAGTGGAAGGGGCGGGGCATTGAGCGGAAGGGTCATGGCCATGATATTTCCGGGTTTCCCACCCCCTGACAATAATTGGTTTGGGGGTGAGGGAGTGACTTTGTCCTTACACCACCACGGTCAGTATCAGGCCCATGTACAATCTCGTTTAATTGGCTAACCGGGAAATCATATTGTTTACTGGTTCACAGAGGTTAATTGATTAAGGGAGGAGCAAGCCGGGGAGGGGGAATGCCAAAGCCTGTCTGGAGCCCCCTTTCCCTCCCCGTGCTAGCTGCTGGGCCAGAACATGCCTCCCCACCCCACTGCTGCAAGCGCTGCTCCAGCCCCACTTGTTAACCTTTGACGGGTGAGGCTTACTGGTTAAACCTCCGCATCCCTAGTACTGACATGGGGGACTTTGGAGATGCCCAACTGCTATGAAAATATCCCTGTGAACTGATTTCCCCTGTAGGCTGCTTTGGGGACTCCTAGTCTAAATGTATATGTATCAGGCATAAAGGGGGGTAGATGCATTGGCACGATTCTGATTTACACCGGCTGCGAATCTTGCCATGAAGGGGGGCGCATCCCCTTTTGTGGTTCCCCCCGGCCTCCTTGACTCGGAGATCGCCGACACTTGGGACTGCGAGGCCGTTTCGCATCCCTGCGGCCTCTGGGTCCTCAACCAAAATGCTGTTTTGTAACGTCTCTTGGCAGCCTCGCTCGGTGACTCACGGCAGACACCCCTGGCCCTCCCATGGCAACAGCACCCCACAGGGACCCTTGTTATTCTTGCTCCAGCCATAGGAGCTGGGTCCCAAAGAGGGAGCTGCTTGCAGACTGTCTAGAGCGCAAACCCTTCTGCCATCAAACCAATAGGTCCTGTCCTTGAAGGGTTGCTATAATAGGTCTGGGCAGAGTCCACTCAGCTGAGGTCTTGCAGCAGAGGTTGGGTTGGTGACATCCGGATGAATTGGAACACAGAGAAATGGGAGGCTGGATATTTGGGGGTGGGGGAGGGAAGAGCAGGGGGATCTCTAGGTTCTTGGGAACGTTGAAGAATCTCTGAAGAGATGCTGGCAAATAGGAATTGACTGTGAGTCAGCCTTGTTACCCCCTGTACCTGTGGTCAAAATGTGGAGTGATCAGCCTTAGCAAGAACAGGGACTAGAAACGGAAGCGCTGACTTCCTGTCTCTAACCCAAGCTGATTTGTAACTGATGGTTCAGCTTGTTGTTCTGTCTCTTTCCCAGAGCCTGTGTCTGTCTCATCTATTCAGCCCCGGGGGTGGGCAACCTGCGGACCGCAGGCCGCCCGTCGGGGTTCTACGTGTGGCCCACGAGACGTGTTTACCGCTGCCCACGGGCAGGGTTGTAAGACTCCGCTGGTGACACACACGTGAAGTTATAGCTCGTGAGGGGAGGTGGGTGCTGATTGACACAACAGTGACTGTGAGAGCCGTGTGCTCCCTCGGCATCCAATCAAAGTGCTGCTATGGTTCAATCGCCCCTTACCCCATGTACGTTCTAGGTACACAAGTGAAGAGCAAAACTACCCTATTCGGGGAGATTGTCTTAGTTCTGACACTCTTGCATACCGCTGAGATGAAGGAGAGACACTTATGCAGCCCACTCACTAAGCTAAGTTTCCCGTTGCTGATTTAGATGATACACTTTTCAGGACAGAGACTGTCTCTTTCTCTGTGTCTCTCCAGCCCCGAGCACAATGGGGCTGATCCTTCATCACTACCATAATAAACATGACTCAGTGTAAGCGTGAGCATTAGTGCAAGCAGGGCTTGACAAATCATGTAATTTACTCGCCCGGAGCGAGTAGATTACAAGCCGGCACAGCCAGCGCCGCGCGATCTGCGCATGTGCAGCGCGGTCTGGCGAGCCCTGAGTGTGAGCATTAGTTTAAACCTGAGGGACCCTTAGTATCTGGTTGTAATTAGCGCTGATCAAAAGTTTTCTGCTGAAAAATGGTTTCCTTTAGGTTGTGTGTCCTGTTTTCATTTTTCACTCATCCATTTTGGGTTTGTTTTCTTTTTTCTTTGTTTTGATGACTTGTTATCAGTTTGGATCAGACCGATTTACCATGTGCCAGACTTCTATCCAAAGCAGAAATACAACAGATTTTGGTCTATTTTTTTAAAAAAGTGCCTATTTCAAATTGAAAAAAACCCCTTTTTAAAAAAAATTCCAAAACATTTAATTAATACACTATGTAGATAAAAGAATTCCTTGAAATTGTGGGAGATCAGAGAAGAAAACTAGGCCCATTTTGAAACCTAGCAGAAGGAAATCATCTTGGAAAACGTCAGCGTTTCCATGCGTTAAGGTCAGGAATTAGAGAGCCGTTAGCTTTGTTGACCAATTCGAGTTTAAGGCTAGCCTGCCTTTGTATTACCAATTCCTATTATAAAATATTGACACCTGTGTCACATGCCAGACTACGGTTGCCAGGTTTTGAACCAGACAGTCCAGTATTTGAGCTTTCTGTTCAGGAAACAAATTGAGAAAATAGAAATGTTCGATATTTTCTAAATAAGATATAATATAGATTGTGCTGTAATGTCAAGTGTGTCCAGTATTTTTGTTGAAACCATCTGGCAACCCTATGCCAGACTGGATCATGTAGCTAGTTGGATAATATCACGTAGTCACATGTTGTCTGTGGCTATTCTACAGGTTGAACCTCCCTAGTATGGCACCCTCAGGATGTGACTGGTGCTGAACCAGATAATTTGCAAGGCCATGAGAAGCTAGTATTGTCTAGCATTACCAGCACTTCCGCTGCTTACTGGGCTCTTAGAAGACATTTAGGGGTAAATTAGAGCTAAATAACGGCACAGAAAACTGAGAGCCGAGACTGGTGGCTGTAAAAAAAACGTTATGGGACTGTGGGAAACTTGACCACACCCATGAAAAGTGAACATCTGGCTACCCACCATCATGCTGGACCCTGGATGTTGCTGGATCAGACAGTGCCGGATTAGAGAGGTTCATCCTGGACTAGAGAGTATGCCAGCCTGCATATTCATTTTCTTACAGACCTCTCTGTATCCTGGCCTGCAATTAAGTCCTCAACAAAGAGTAATTAGTGCCAATGATGTGAATTTAGGGGTGACAAAATCATGGCGTAAGTTGATCAAAATGCAAGTGCGAACACGTGATAAAATAGTACAAATCTCCTGATCTGGCATACAATGGGGGTATGTCTAGACTGCATCCCTAAGTCGGCAGAGGGATGCAGATTAGGCAGGTCGACATTGCAAATGAGGCAGGGATTTAAATATCCCGTGCCTAATTTGCATAAAAATGGCTGCCGCGTTTTTGCGGCCTCAGCACTTTGTCGGCAAAAAGTGGCAGTCTGGAGGGGGATCTGTGGAGAAAGAAAGGCTTTTTCGACAGATCCCTTATGCCTTCTGCAAGGAGGTTTACAGGACAAAACAATTGTCACGGCTCTGTTTCATCCTGTTAGCTGTCTTTCCTTTTACACCAGTGGTGGGGAACCTTTTTTGGGTTGGGGGGGTCACTGGCCCATGGAAAATCAGTTGGGGGCCGCACACAAGTGAGAAGCTAAAAACCCCAAACAAACCCTCACTGATCTGGCCCCTGATGGAGAAAGAGAAAGACTCTCCCCACATTTCCCTCAAACCCCAGAGTGAGGGGGCCCCGGCTAGCAGATTTTGTGTGCTCCAGCCTTACAGTGGGGCAGTGAGGGTGAGGGGGGGCTGGAGCACCAACACTGGCCCCCTAATGCTGGGGGGCCCCTGGCCCCTCTCCTCTGCACTCTTGATGTGCTCACTTTGCGACGCTGGTGCCAGTGACACTGTTTTACCTCTGACTCTATTTTACCTCTGATGTTACTTCCACTTCCGCTGAGTTTGTCCAGGAGATTTCCAAAGGATTTGCCCCCCTGCTCCCCGTTTGCGCTAGGCCGGAATGTGGTTCGCCGTGTATGGGAGATACTGAGTGTAGACCTTGTGCTAACGGTTCTGAGGGCTTGTGCCTGCAGCGCCGGATGATGTTTCACTGAGGCTGAGCCGGTCGGAGGTCTACGTGGCCCTGCAGCGGTATCCTGAGGCACTGGAGGACTTGGAGGCGGTGTGCCGGAGCGAGCCGGAGGAGTGTGAGGTGGGTCGGTGCCCGGCTGGTGGGTTCTGGTGCAAGAAGGTGGACTGGGCACCTGCTGTGGGCGCCTTGAAGTGAAACGTGATGTGAAAGATGACGCTTGAGCTGTGGGACTGCAGCCGTCTGCTCACAGGGACGGAGGGATTCATTCTGGGGGCTGTTAGAACGGTAAATGGGGGTTACAAATACTGCCAGGCTCTCCCTCACCCCCTTCTCCCAGAGGGCTTCATTTGACCCCGGAGTTCTCCCTTGTCTTGGATTGCCACACTTCTATAGCGCTCCCGCACTGGAAAGAGAGAGAGCTGCCCAAAGGAATGTGTGGGGGGAAGGGGGGGGAGGGAGGTGGAGGGTTCCCACAAATATGTAAGTACAAAATTTGAACTTGTTCGCAAACCAAAACCATTCCAGGACTGACCAGACTCCACCTAATAACCTGCTGATGCGCGAGGGTTCGGCTCGGGGGCTCAGAACCACTCAGATTTCAGCAGTGATCGTGTTAGAGGGTCTTCTCCATGAAGCCTCTTCTTTCCCCTGGCTCCAAGGTGCCTGTCTTTTTGCCTTTCTTCCTGAAACTCGTTTGCAGAGCCATGAGTCTGAGGGCCTGGTCAAATAATTGGAACCTTTCCGTTGCTCTCGTGGGCATTGGACCAGGGTTTAACTTGCTCGTCCGGCTCGTCATGGGTGGAGCTGACCTCGTTTCTCTTGCACCTCATTCCGCGTTTGAGAGCAAGGGAGTAGCATTGCCGCCGGGAGGAGATGATGGTGACAAATGTTCATAGGAGCATAGAACACTAGAACTGGAAGGGACATTGTGAGGTCATCGAGTCCAGTCCCCTGCCCTCCTGGCAGGACCAAGCACCTTCTAGATCATCTGTGACAGACGTCTGTCCAACCTGCTCTTAAGTCTCTAGTCGTGGAGATTCCACAGTCTTGGACAACTTGCATGGTGGCTCTTCCTTGTGTCCCTGGGGGATGTCTGGAAAAGTGACAGCTTGCACAGGATGGCAGGAGTTTTAGATGTAGCGAGTGGATGGGAACATTTGCAGAGGATCGATCCTTTGAATGAACATAAGAATGGCCATACTGGGTCAGACCAAAGGTCCATCCAGCCCAGTATGCTGCCTGCCAACAGTGGCCAATGCCAGGTGTCTCAGAGGGAGTGAATCGAACAGTTAATGATCAAGCGATCTCTCTCCTGCCATCCATCTCCACCCTCTGGCAAACAGAGGTTAGGGACACCTTTCCTTACCCATCCTTTCTAACAGCCATTCATGGACTTAACCTCCATGAATTTATCTAGTTCTCCTTTAAACCCTGTTATAGTCCTAGCCTTCACAACCTCCTCAGGCAAGGAGTTCCACAGATTGACTCTGCGCTGTGTGAAGAAGAACTTCCTTTTATTTGTTTTAAACCTGTTTTAAACCCATTCATTTCATTTGATGGTCCCTAGTTCTTATATTATGGGAACAAGTAAATAACTTTTCCTTCTTCACTTTCTCCACACCACTCATGATTTTATAGACCTCTAGTCTATCCCCCCTTAGTCTCCTCTTTTCTAAGCTGAAAAGTCCCAGTCTCTTTAATCTCTCCTCATATGGGACCCGTTCCAAACCCCTAATGCCAACACCTTGCCAGCAGCCCTGGTGCAGCTGGTGACCGAGCGAGGGTCATGGTTCACTGATAATTCTGTACTCACCCGTTCCCTCTTGGCACAGCTCTCGGGTGTGTCTTGCTTGGAAATGCACTGGCCCAATTCAACAGTGACGTGTTAAGTTGCAAATACAGAGCACTCCATTATGCTAAGTGGGCCATGTGTCCTAGCTCATTAAGCCCAGCGCACCTATACAGCTCTCTTGGGTTCAAAGAAAAACCCAAGCTGAAGCCCTCTAGGCGTGTCTGACACTCTATGAAAGGCACTCTTTGGTCAAGCACAGAAGCACGTTAATAAAGGAACGGCTGCTATAGGGAGAGAGATTAATAAGACTGGGACTTTTCAGCTTAGAAAAGAGGAGACGAAGTGGGGATAGGATAGAGGTCTATAAAATCATGAGTGGTGTGGAGAAAGTGAAGAAGGAAAAGTTATTTACTTGTTCCCATAATCTAAGAACTAGGGGTCACCGCTGAATAGGTAGCAGGTTTAAAACAAACAAACAGAAGCTTTTCTTCACGCGGCACACCGTCAACCTGCGGAACTCCTTGCTAGAGGAAGTTGTGAAGACCACGATTTTAACAGAGTTCAAAAAAAGACCTAGATGAAGTCATGGAGGACAGGTCCATTAATATTTATTAGCCAGGATGGGCAAGAATGGTGTTCCTGGTCTCTCTGAGAGCCTGGAAACGGGTGACAGGAGAGGGATCACTTGATGTTCCCTGTTCTGTTCACACTCTATGGGCATCTTGCATTGGCCGCTATCAGAAGACAGGACACTGGACTAGATGGACTTTTGGTCTGACCCAATATGGCCATTCTTATGACATTTCATTACTGGAGGAGAGAGAATGGATAGGGTGGGGCTGGGCCCTGAAGGGCCTTGAAAATGGCTTATGTTTGGTGCAACAGAGGAGGGGAGTCCGGAAAGAGAGGGGCGAAGCAGAAAAAGGAACGGGCAAAGAAAACACTCTTCACAGCAGCCTTCTGAGTAGGTTTGAGCGGGGCCAGGGAGTCTTGGTCAGGGCCACAGAGAAGTGCAGCAGCTAAGAGACAAGAGGCTAAGAACATCTATGATTGTTGCAGTGTGTGAACGGGTGGAAAAGGTAAAAAATAGGTCAGAGCAATCTGTTGCATAGCAAAAGGAATGGGAAATGGGAGAGACCTGTCTCTGCTTTGGAAAGGACTTCCCAGTTTCTCAGTATGCCAGTGAATGGAATTTGCTTTTGCTCCGTGGCTGCCTTTTGGAGTAAAAGTCCTCTTAGTGCCGTAAGCAGTCTTCCCCATCATACGTTTTCTTCTCTGGGGCGTTTGCTGACAAAGCACGGGGAGATAAAGGGTATGTTTAGACTACTGGGTTTTTTTTTTCCCGAAAGGAGATATGCAAATGTGGCGCTAATTTGCATATCTTCTTCCGATTGCTTTTTTGAACGTGGGTTTTTCGAAGTGAAAGTAGTCTGCATGCATTTTTTGGGGGGGAACCCCCCTTTTTTGAAAAACCCCCTCTTCCCAAAAAAAAAAAAAAAGGAGGTTTATGCAGTTTTC